AGCTGGAAGATCCCTCCAAACGCAACAGGGAATGGACTCAGAGGCTCCCCCAGGTCGTCGCGGCTTTGAACAACGAGGCGGCCAGGGCTACGGGAATGAGACCCAAGGATGCCATAAAAAAGAAACACGTGGAACACAAGTCCTACGTCAGAAGTTCGAGGCCGATCTTCCCCCAGGAAAAGAGATTAGGCGATGTCACGGTTCGATATCTCTATGAACCGGGTGAATTAGAAGGAGGGTCTAAAAGAGCTACGGATCCTAATTGGTCTTTGGAAACTTACCAGATCCGAAGTGCGATAGCTAAGAAGGGCCAGCCCATCTTGTATTATCTTCATGATGGTCCCACTCGTGGGTTCGTCAAAGAAGAACTGCTTATCGTGTGATGTCCGAATGCTATCGTATGAATACCATCATCACACATCAATCTCTTACCATCAAATGCTGACAGTGACACCTTCTCCTGCGTAACGTTGTGTATTTGATGTCCGTAGCTGCGCAGGCTGTTCATTTTATGTCGCTGTTCCTTACGCGTTCGCAGGACCTTTAAGTAGGAATCGTGGGTTATGTCCTTCTTAAACACGTATTTTTTACGCCTTTGGCTTTCTTTTCTACGCCGTCCATTTTGAGAACGCTGTACATCTTGGGTTTCAGGCCCACGTATTCCACAATGGGCTTGCCGCACATTTCGTCCTTCATCTTCCCTATTACCTTCTTGYTCTTCGCGGAGTAAAGGAAGTGTTCCTTAGGGTAGGCGCTGGTGTCGTACTCATCGAGGTCCTCAAGGCAGTCCTGGTAGACGTCTTCCGTCTGCACTTCGAGGATCAAAGAGTCGRTGTCCGTGTATAAGAGGTGGCACTTATCACCGTATTTCGGTTTTAGCTTGTCGTAGTAAAACTCATACATGAGCAACTTTGATAGGTCTAACACTGTAAACCCCGTGTATACGGGTTTGTTCAGAAATAGGTTCGCTTTCTTCATGTGAATCACGTAGAAGTTTAGCATTTCTACGTATCTGACGAATCCAGGCTGTGACACGTATGCTTCTGCCTCCTCTCTGGTGCTGGCTATCTTTATGCTTACCCGCTTGCGGATGTTCTCCATCGTCTTACCAAAGACGGAGTTATTCATTAGTTTGAACAGATTCTTCTCAAAGTCGTTCTTTGCCGCTGTGCGCTTCTGAGTGTTGAAGTCGATGTAGGGCTGCATCCATGGCTCCTGTGTGAACTTCAGCACGCGGTGGATCCTCTTGACGCGTAAGCCGTGGCGCACATAGAACTGCAGGTTGCGGTAATGCACAACGTACTTCTTTTTGTCCATCAGGTTCATCGTTAGCTTCCTGTAGGGCTTGTAATTGGGGCACATCTGCTGCTGTAGCGGAGACAGCTGCGCAAATGGTATCTCCACGGCCTCTGGTGCTAAGGGAAACTCGTTGTGGGCGTCATGTAGGTGCTCGGGGTATTCTAGATCCACTTCAAGGATGAATCCTTTGCGGCTGTCCGGCCTCACACGCAGGTAGTAGTCTATCTCCCGTGGCTCCGCCCATTCAAAGTCCCTCACTGGTAAATGCTGTGACATTGCCCAGCCGTAGAGGTTGTTGGCGTCCAGGTAGAAGATGTAGGTGGTTGGCTTCTTGGGGTCGTGCTCTACCAGGGGGTTATTTGCTTTTGCGTGTCGCCTACTGGGCCCGCAAACGCCGCCGCGGATACCGTCTTCCATAAACCGGTACATGTCGTATTCCGTTAGTAGGTCCAGTTGTGCGTTCGTCTTCTTCAACAGGGCGCTCCAGGAGAGCCCGGGTGCTGTGTAGAAATTTGCAGGATCCAGGCTGTAGTACTCCATTGCCATCTTCCTKAAGCTCTGAAAGACGTCCGCTAGTAGGACGACGTCAGACCTTAAGTAGATGTCGTGGTAGTCGCCCATCGTTTGGCAATCATACTTCTGCCACACGTCTAAGGCGTGCTGGTACTCTTCGTCCTTTATGCCGGACTCGTTTAGGGTACTGTAGAATCTCTCTTTGGGTGGTAGGGGTTCTTTGAATCGATCCCAGGAGTCCATGTATTCGTATGGGTACACTCCTTTCCTTTCCGCGCCGTATTG